AAGAGAGCTATGTGTGAATCTGGTCTATATCTAGTATAGTTGTATATTTTACTACATAGAGATCTGTGAGCTGTGTCCTGCTTGCAGAAGAATGTTTAGCAAATTAAGCCAGAAAGATATCCAGCGAAAATCAGCTATGAAACTTGGTTCATGCTTTCTACAAATTTTTCATTGAGGATTTACTGTATTCTCTCACAATGGTTTTTCTGTATGCTATCTTCTGCTTTTCTTTGAAAGAGAAAAAAAGGGGGGGTGGGTAGAGGAGAGAGACAGAGACAGAGTTTTTAATGTAGTTTTTGCACTTTTATTTGCTTTTGCTCAAAAACAAGTGAGGGCTCTGTTTTTGTGTTGTTTTAGCATTTGTAGGACCATGTGTCTGTCTTTCTACTCACATGTAAGCCCTGGATCCAGGCACCATGTGTGGTACAAGCACAGGCGGATTAGTGTGCAGGGACTGGGACCAAACAGCTCTCCAGTGCCCGACCCTGCCTGCTACAGGAGGAAATCCCTCCCTCGCTTTCCGAGGCCCCCTTTCACACGCTCTCTCCTTCCTTGCTCTTCATCAGTGACAGCTGCAAGAGGATGTAGGTCTGGAGAACTGGAACAAAGTCACACTGGAGATTTGGACACCTAGTTGGCTATATGAGTAGCTCAGGCTGGGTGTTGCTCCTTCCTGCCAGCCCTGATTGCAGAAGGATATAAAGGATATATGTTCAGGGAACTTAGCCAGAAAGAAATCCAGTGAAAATGAGCTATGAAACTTGGACATCCTGGAGTAATAATATTTGCAGAGGAAACTCTGGAGACGAACTCTCACCAGAGCACCAAGCCTAGTGTTAGGACTCATGGCCAAGGGCTGAAGTTATGTGGTAGGCAGACCTCAGCTCGTTTGCTCTGTGAGGCCTTTCCACAGCCACGATGGACTCCATAGAAAGCAAGTCAACACCACTTAGACCCATGGTAAGACAAATGGGTACTATTGAAAGAAAGTAGAACAGAAATGAACTAGGAAACAAAAACTTTTTTAAAATCTTCCTTATCTTAAAGGACTTGTGCTTTGAGATGTCTGTGGCACCCATGGCATGTTTAACTACACACCTGCACAGGCAGATAGAAGGCAGAAAAAGTCCCAGGCACTAGCCTCATTCATTCCATGGTTACAATGGGATCCTGGAGGTCCACCCGCCATCTTGTACACATCTGATCTCGAATACAGGAGGTCCAAGCAGGAGAGTATGGCTGGCTTTAGATCAACCCATCCCATAACTGGAGCCCAAGATGTTGGGTGAAGGAGCAGGGTAAGGACTCAAGCCTGGTCCTGGCCATGGTTCTCCCCCTTCTTGTAAGTGTAGCCTTGACTAAAAACATGCTCTTGCCAAGCTTTAGCAACTCACCTGTAGCTCACACCAGATGCCACCTTCTCAGGGGACTCTGTGAGGAGCAGATGAGTCACATATGCAGAGAGGAAATGACATGACTATACTAGCCACTTTCCATGTATTCGATCATTGAATCTTCGTAACAACCATCCTTCTAGATAAGGAAACAGGATAGCTTGCCCGATGATCACACAGCTAATCCACAACCCAGCAAGAACTGTTATTCATGCTGTTTGAATCTAAAGCCCACACTCTTTAATTTTATTCCTTTAATACCAAGACAGAAACTACATGGTGCCTGGCACATGTCAATACATGGCTATCTCCTTCTTTGATCTCACCAAAACATACATGATTATGCTGGGAAATTGATAGAAATTGATTGAAAATTCTCCAAAAACTCAACAAAATTACAGGGCATGCAAAACAGCTTTATCAAGACAGAATTCATATGCCATATAATTCACCCATTTAAAGCTTGCAATCCAGTGTTTTTCCTCACAACTTTTCTTAACAGAGCTGTATAACTATCTCTATAATAAACTTTAGAACATTTTCAAAAAGAAACCCACACCCCTTCACCATAATTCCCCCATCTCCACCCCCGCCCTTGCCCAGGCACCAGCTATCACTAGCCTCCTTGCCGTATTTATGGATGTGCTTATTCTGGACCTTTCACGCAAATGGAATCATGAAATACATGGTCCTCTGTGGCTGCTGTGTTTTCAGGGCTCACTATGTTGACTCATGCATCAGTATTCAGTCCTTTTTATGGAGGAATATGATTCTGTTGTGTGTATTATTGTTAGTCAACGAATATGTACTTGCTTCTGGAAAAATCTTTATAGAGATGGAATCTACACACCTCCCGTTGTACTGACAAGGATACTGTGGTGGAAAGAGATTAAGTGTCCTGGCCAAGGTCACACAGCTGGTTGCGGGGCAGAGCCCAGACTCAAACCTTACAACTCTCGCCTTGGTCCCATCTCACTTAACCCCACAGAAGGTTTTTGGAAACATGATTCAAAGGACACAGCTTACTGGTGAATAAATGCTGGCAGAATGAGCTCTGCCAACATTAGTCTATATCATTCATTCAACCAATAGACACTGACCAATCCCTGACAGCAGGGCACTGTGTGAGGGTCTGGGGACCTAAGGAGATAACAGGACAGACAAGGTCCCTGCCCTTCCTTTCCTCTCTGCTTCTTGTGGAAGAACAAATAAATGAGTAAACCCCTAAATAATAAAGTAATCCTATGTTGGATGCCATGTAAGAAGTAAGCAGGGGTCTGAGAAAGAGAAAGATGGAGAACTGGGGAGGTGCTGGCAGAGGCAGTAGAGTTGGGGGTGAAAACCCCACTGTCAGAGTGTCACAGGCACTCTGTGACTTGCAGAAGGCTTCTCTGAGGAGAGGATATTCAGGGTGAGGCCTAGAGGAGGAAGAGGAGTGCTAACCTTGTGAGTGTCTGGAAGAAGAGCGTGCAGAAGAAGAGCGTGCAGAAAAAAGGGCATAGCATGTGCAAAGATTCTGAGGCAAGAAAGTGCTTGGTGTGTTGAAAGAGTTAAATAAGTAGAACAGAGCAAACAAGCAAGTGGTATGATTTGAGGCTGGAGAGGGCAGGGCCCAGGTCCTGGTGGAGGCCCTTCAGCCTGTTTTCTCATGATCACACTCAGCTCTGAAGACGGGAGGACTAGTGGGAAAGGAGATCAGGAGCTTCCAGTTCTCTTCCTGTGAATTCAACAAACTCACTTACCACAGGAAGGTGGAGGAAGTCCTCCTTGTCTCTAAGGACAAGGGAAGCACACCTTCCTAGTCGGGGTGATGTAACTATGTCTCACCCTTGGGATGAATCAGAAGATGAGGAAAATGAGAAAATACCAGCATATCAATAGGAAAGTATTAAATGATTATGGTCCAGCCAAAGGACAGAATATAATTCAACTGACAAAAAGAGTGGGAGTGGGTTAGCTCTTTCAGTACCAAAGTAGTTTTAAGCAAAACAACAACAACAACAACAACAACAAAAACCCAAAAACCAAGGCACAGAACTGTGTGATGCGCATACTTTCATTGTAATAAAAAAAGGTGGGAAGGGCAAGACATGCATATAACCTCTCTAGAAAGATCCACATAAAATGTATGCAGAAGGGCTTTCTGTTTGTCTCTGCTTCCCCCAGGAGAATGGACATGCACAGGGAAGAAGGGTCTTAGCTGCTGATGTTGGAGGGAGGATGGGGGCAGTGGCGGGGGACATTTCACTGTCACCTCTGATATTGTCTCCAAGTTTGAAACATGAGTGGGTTTCCTGTTCAAAACAACTACATAAAAATAAAAAACAAAGAAAAGGCCATGAAGGGTGTAGACCTGCCAACCAAAGCCACCCTGCTCTTGGCCTCTGGCAAGCTGGCCCTCTTCCTCCTAGCACACTACTTACTGACCACCACTGGCTCCCTGTCTACATTTCACTCCTAGTTGTAATGAAAGCTGTGACCATTGGTGACCAAAGAAATTGCTGGAAGAGTCCACAATTAATTCTGACTCCCAAATGTGAACCATCAAACACCTCCCTTCTAAAGTGCTCTGGGGTGAAGGAGGAAAAAAATACTTATCAGGTAATGGCCTCCAGTTGTGTGCCTAGCACTAAGCAAGGCACCTTGGGAGGATCAACCATGTAATGTTGTGTGTAAGTCAGAGTAACTCACAGTCCTTGTTGTCCATCAAAGGTCTCTCAACCTGGGAGCCGGGACTCTTTGGGTTGAATAAGTCTTTGTTGAGCAGCTGCCCTATACATCATGGGATATTCTTCAGCATCCTTGGCCTCTGTTCACTAGATGCCATTTCCTCCAGTTGAACAACTCAAACTGATCCCAGACATTGTGAAATGTCCCTGTGGTACAAAAGGGTCCCCAGTTGAGAACCACTGCTCTCGTCACTGAATGTCCAGGTAATTTGGTAATTGCTTTACTGTCCAAATCAGAGACTGGGGACTTCCATTTCATCAGGACCACATTTGAGATGCCCAAGAGGTCAAGGGGTTCAGTGAACTGCATTGTGGCTGGGTTCTTTGTATCTGATGGGTGGCAGTCAGTCTTAAATCCCTGGGAACCTCTCTTGCCTAGGAAAAAAAACAACCGCAGATTTAAAAAAAAAAAAATCTGTCTATAAGAGGCTCTTCCATGTCTAGAAGGTGTGGGCCATTACAGTGGAGCAGACTCAGTGAACCAATAAGAAAACACGCAGGCTGACCAGCGTCCCAAGATTGCTGGAGTGACAGACAGGGAGCAATCACTTCCTCTTGTGATTATTTTCCCCCAGGTGACAGAGAGAGGGGAGCAAGGCACTGGGAAGGCACATGAGGAATCATTGTAACAAACAGGGTGGACAGATGGGTGAGACAACCATCCTCTCTCCTCTCTCATAATTATTCTTGGACAGCTTTCTTTGGAGAGCAAAGAAAAAGGAACTATGTTTCTATGTCTTGATTAATTGGAGTCTCATCCTTGGGGCTGGATGAAACCAATGAGCAGAATTTTCCATGGCCAACTGTCCTGGCTGCCGTGCTCTATCGGCCAAAGTGTGGTGTTTATTTACTTTTGCTTGTGTTATTTTTATTCCAGTTCAGCTGCAGCTGAGTGCGGAAAGCGTGGGGGAGGTGTATATAAAGAGTACCGAGACTGGCCAGTACTTGGCCATGGACCCTGAGGGGCTTTTATACGGCTCAGTAAGTATGAAGCTGATCCTGCCTCCAGACACGGCCAAGGTTGAGGTTTTCAGAAACCTTGTTACAATGAGCAATGCAAACTAGAAACCATCAATTAGTCTCTGTTTGTTATTTTTTCCAGTAGGATTCCCACCCTCTACCTTGCCTTATTTTAAGTGCAAACATAAAAGAGTTTCTTGGGGTATGCTCTCAAAATACTCAAGTACACTATCATCTAGACAGAGAGGAAACATTGATTGATGTTTTGATAACTCATCAGGCACTTCCTTCAGGATACCTGGTCCTTGTTTATTCATTCATTCCAAAAATGTTTCCTGAGCTCCTAGTGCATGTGTCTTTTCATGCTTTTTATAAAAGTTGCAGATCCTGGATTCTAGTAGCTTATCTGCCATGCATAAAAGGTTGGAAACAGTCCCTGTTATTTTGCAAGGATCACCTAAAAAGATGAAATTTTAGTTACTCAGTTCAACACTTACCAAATGTTCCTGTGTCCAAGCACCATTTTAAGTGCTAAAAGGGATGTCAAGGATGAACAGGCACTGAGGAGAAATGTCATCTAATGCTTTGTTTCTTTGGTAGCTAAAGCCCCCCACATGCCCTTCTCCTCCTCTCTAAGAATAAAAATATCTTGGTCTTTGTGAGAAAAGAACAGAAATAGAGGTAATCTGATTATTTTTTAGCAATTAACTTAGGTGGTACTGGGATTTGAATTTAGGGCCTTGTGCTTGCTAGGCAGGTGCTCTACCACTTGAGCCACATCCCAGCCTGGGTCATCTGATTTTGCCCCTCTTGGGATCTCTGCTAAAAGATTTAGCTGGAGACTGAGCTAAAACCAACAAATGGATTTCACGATCCCTTCTCTGTATCGTAACAGCTGAGAACTAAGGCTTGGCTACAATTCATGACCCAGTCAAACCCTCTCCCCTTTTATGAAGATCTTTATTAAAAGGCAGCGCATACAGCATGTTCAGACGGAGGCTTTCTTTTACCCGGATCAAGTCGCCAACTGAAAGTGGGCACAGGAAACCCTGGAGGAGAACTCAAGTGCAGTTCTGCCCACTGCCCACTAGGGGTCAGGAGATAGAATAGTCAGAGTAACAGGTGTCCTCTCATATGCTGTTGGCTGAGATCCGGAGCAACTGGGACAATTTTAAGGGGCGCGGAGCCAAGGCAGAGACTGCTACATAAAGAGTGGATTTGTTTTTAAGGTGGTTCTTCCAACTGGTTGTCAAATCAACCGATCAGCCATTTGATCTGACTCACAGCTGAATCTTATACCTCTGCCACACTGGCAAGTTCCTTGCCCACTCTGAGCCCTATCTTAAATGGGATCGCAAGGGACAGGGACTACATGATGCAGGACTCAAGAGGGTCCAAGGAAACAACAACGGAACTCACCCCCCAGTGACTGCACATGGGAGGCAGCTTGTGCACCCGTGACCCTCACTGTCTCCTAGGTGATATGCTACAGTTTTATGGCTTTTTCTTCTTTAAATCAATCTTGATGTTTATTCTAACCTTATTTTATTTATATAAAGAAATTGAGGGAGAACTCTCAAGTCCAATTTCCTCCAGGCTCCAAGCAGCCCCTCTTAACATAGTGCTGACCGCCCCTGCAATTCTCCTGAAAAAATGATCTTAGTATATTATAACTAAGAATCTTTGCATTATTCCCCCTGATAAGGAGAAGTTCTAAAGTACCTCTGCCTTTGCCAGGTGCCGGTGGCTCACACCTGTAATCCTAGCTACTCAGAAGACAGAGATCAGGAGGATCAAGGTTCAAAGCCAGCCCCAGGCAAATAGTTCAAGAGTCCCTATTCCAAAAATTCCCAACACAAAACAGGGCTGGCAGAGTGGCTCCAGTGGTAGAGTGTGAGGCCCTGAGTTCAAATCCCAGTATTGCTCCCCCAAAATAAATAAATAAATGTAACTCTGCCTCATGCTGTGAAGAAATTTTAGGTATCACTCCATCTTATTTCAGATTTTTGTGTGTTTAAAAAGTAAGTTTGAAAGGCTGTATCTGAAAAATATTAATACAGTTATCTTTGGGGGTATAAGTGGGTGATTTTGTAATTCGAGAATGGCTTCCTATATTTTCCCAATTTTCTCCAATGAGTTTGTCACCTATGTAATGGGGGAAAGCATTCTAAACACAAAAAAACAACAGGCACGAATCAATAGCTGATGTTCATACTCCAGTATTGCACCAGGTGCATAACAATTGCTTACGAATCCCACTGAGGGACACAGCACAGAGTTGGCCAGCCGACTCAGCCATGACTCAGTCTCTTTGTGTGTCATCTGCTCTGGTGTGACAGAGCCATCAGGTGGGGAACATGGCTGTTCTCACCTTCGTCACTGAATGCAGGCCTGACACCCACTGAGGGGTGTCATGGGTGAGCCTCCTACAGGAGAGTGGCAACCCACACAGTCCAACCCCCGCCCCTCCTTCCACCCTGACAATGTGCACTGACTGTTAATGTCTGGACCAACTTCCTCCAGAGGCAGCAGTCATCCAATTAAATAGTATATTTATATCCCGTCTCATTCGAAAAGGATCTGAAGTGTCTCACCCAGGTGTCATTTCCTTCGGCTGCAAATGAATAAGAAGCAGGATGCTTCCTGTTGCATAGTTCCTTGCTAATAAAAGATAACACTGGGGTTGACAGTTGCTCTGCTCAGTGGCAGAGCACTCGCCTAGCATGCACCTGTTTCCATCCCCAGCAACAAAAAAAGAAAAGGAAAAAAGAACTGAATTAACCCACTCCATAGCTGGTGATCAACCAGCCCTTACAAGGCTGTGTGTGTGTGTGTGTGGTGGTGGGATGGTAGATTCCATCTCTTTCCTCAGTAGGTTTTGTATCTACAAATATGTCACATGTATAGAGAACAATGAATGACTGGAAACCACCAGAAAGGACATTAGCACATACTGTGGACGAAGAGAGAGACTATTGAGATCACGTGACTTGAAAAAGGCACAGTTTGGTGGTGGGGGTGGTCATTGGAAGGATAACATACAGCATAAGGGTTTTCACACACTTGTTTTAAATCTAAATATAGTATACTATATATATTATAAAAATCTGGACAAGTAGCAAGTGTGAAGACTGGCTTTCCCTACTTTTTAACAGATGCATTATATGTTGCTAGACATTTTTCAAGCAAGCACACTATTTGATATGTTGTGGCTGTTCCCAGCTTGGTAACTCTGCAGCCTCACAGGATCGCACTGTAAGGGTGTACCTTCCTCCACTCCACCAGTCACCGGGCCACGGCCATACAGCCGCTTCTAATTTGTTCTCATTATAGTTGAGGCTTCAGAGACCATCCTGGAAAATATTATTTTATACTTGCTCAACTAACAACTAAGGGTAAAGTCCTAGAAGTGAAAAATGTTTAATTTTGATACATATCCCAATTCCCCTAAAAAGAAAGAGACCAAGGCAGAAAGCTTTAGTGATTTGTCCAAGGTCACACAGTGCTTTAAAACCACTCACTAATTGTTCTGCACTCTTTTGGATTTACCTTTTTAGCAGACACCAGATGAAGAATGCTTGTTCCTGGAGAGGCTGGAGGAAAACCATTACAACACCTACATATCCAAGAAACATGCAGAGAAGAATTGGTTTGTTGGTCTCAAGAAGAACGGAAGCTGCAAACGTGGGCCTCGGACTCACTACGGCCAGAAAGCAATCCTGTTTCTCCCCTGCCAGTCTCCTCTGATTAGAGAAATCTGTTCTGGGTGCTAACCAATCCCGAGGAGCCTCGAGGGGTCCTCACCTGGCCGATCCCAAAAGCGTTCCCTTGACCATTGGCTGCACTAGCCCCCAGCCCACAGAGCCTGAATTTGTAAGCAATGCGCTTCTAATACCCAGTTCACTCTTTTCCAGAGCCCTTTACCCTGGCACAGTTTGGAACAGAGGGACCAAATTGCTTCTAGGGGTCAACTGGCTGGCTAGTCTTGGTCTGGGTTAGGATGCCCAGTTGCCTTGAGGCACCTGCTACAGACGAGCCTCTCAATGCAAAGATGGAGCCAAGTGAAGTGTGCTGAGGAGTCTGCCGAGTGGGTGTTTAGTAAGTGCGTACCATTTCCCCTGCTGAGTAAACCCTGGCTTCAAGTCCCCAAACATCTGGCATGACTACCTTTTTCCGTCAGTACCCCCCAAATACCAACAGAGAAGTAGGCAGAGATTCCATGAAAGAAGCAGGGATGGAGAAATCCCCCCTCAAGCACATAAGGGATTTCACATGGAAAGGGAGTTACATTTTGATGGACAACTTAGAAGGATGAGGTCTTGGTACAGAATAAGTGAAGATGGGGGCGGTGGAAGCTCAGCCACAGGGAAGCAGAATGAATCTGCAGTTGTTACTAGGCCTTGACCTCCCCAAGCTTATCTAGCAGCAGGAAGCCTCTGAGGTCAGGGGAGACCCCTAGATGTGGTTTCTTGATAAAAGCAAGGACATTAGAGGTTGGGAAGTTCACCTGGGTCTGGGGAGTGGGGTGATGAGCAAGAAAGGGTACCATCAGCCGTGGGGATGCTGACCTCTAAAAAGGGTGATTTGAGGAGCAAGGAGGAAAGGAAAAGTGTCGCCATGACACTTGCATGCTCACCAATTAACAGGGGCTTTGGAGTGCCCCCCAGCCCTTATGTTCCTACAGAACATATGAGGGTCTGGTTATGAATACAGAGCCTGACTCAGCGGGGCTGGAGTAGGGTCTCTACATTTCCCAGGGGCTCCCAGGTCCTTTAGATGCTGCTGTCATTCCTCCACCACAATTTCAGCAGCAGATCCTAAAGAATGCTATTCAAGGTGGCTTAATCCCCAGACCCTCACCTGCTCAGCCTCACCTTAAACATGCACACCCAGGCATCTCCCAGGTCATCCAGCAGCAGCCATAGTAGGTAGTTATGCCTGTATAAAGGAATGTGGTTTTAAGGTGCTTTGACCCAATGCATATAAAATACCCACTTTGAAGACAGACAAATGTGTACTTCAAAAAATGTTAAACCCTCCCAGACAGCTTTTTTCAAGAGACCATTTCTGTTACCATTACTTGTATAAATAGGCTTCCTGCTTAAAATAAACTTGACCCAAGTGGCTAGCAACTCAGAAACACCATTCATCTCTGACATAGGATACTGAGGCCATATAAAGGCCTTTAATAAGCCATTTAAATTTACTGTGAGACTGTATGTTTTAATCACATTTAAAAGTATATAGCTTGAGGCATTAAATTGATTAGCATTCAGCCATTAAGACTGACGATAATTATCAGCTAAGCCATATAAGCTACTCAGTTATCTAATACTTACACCACATTTACTCGTGAGGTTTTTCTATGTCTTCTACTGTGCTGATATAAGTTTTTGTTTGAAAATTGGGAGTTTTAAGTTCATCGCAGCTAAAAACTGATGAGTTTTAGATCATATTTTATAAGGAATCAAAGCAATTATTAATTGAGAAATAATTCCTTATAATTGAACTGTCATATTTAGGATGGAAGAAAAATGACACTTCAAAGGTTCAAAGTGATAGCACAACTGAGGAATTGAACTGAGTTGACATCATGGTTAATACAGTGTTCTGCTTTTGTATAGTGAAATGATATCGTAACTTTTCTTGTTTTTATAACATGGATAAGATGGTTTTGTTTTATTTTTAGGAAATCTTTGCAGGCAAGTTGGGGATAATGCAGTGTGGCTTTAACATCTCTTTAGTGTGAAGGTTTGGCCAGTAAAAGGTACCGAGAGAGGGGACCTAAGCTATTTATAATGGTCCATAATTTTTATTGTATGAATCAAATTCAAGTATAACATTAGCCAGGAAAAATTAAATATCAGTGCCAACAGATGAGATGGAGTCTGTGATTTCAGAGACCCAAGCCATTGCAGAGGATTGTGACCTTGACAATCTCAGCCCAGTCATCATCGGTGTATTTGCCCAATGGATATATCGTGCCCACTCTGCGCCAGGCATTGTTCAGGGTCCTGGGGCTCCTGGGAGCCGTGTCTTTCTGGCTTGCTGCCGTACCCCTGCCCAGGGCACTATTTTTATGAAAGATGCTAAGGAGTCATCTCGTTCAGACAAGTAAAAACAGACTGAGGTTCCTACTGAATAAACAGCAAGTCCCAGAACCCCAGGTTTGGAAGAACTAGCAGCCCCTGACATAGAATAAGCCCCCACCAAAGTGGCAGAGGACATGTGTGCCGAAGTAAACCCAACACTTGCAACTTCAGCCCTGTGTCAGCTTGAGGGGACAGCTTTCAAATCAGGAAAAGGGCCCATGAGATCTTGTAAGAAGGGAGTGGGGCAGTCCCCATGCTGTTTCAAACATGGGAACACTGTCACTGTACATTCTCTTCCCTTAGTAGATTTGCAGCCATCTGCCTGTGATGAGCCAACTTTCCAGGCCAACTATTGTGAGCTACCCCACACTCCGTACAAAGTGTGATGACCATATGGGCTTTTGAGAGTTAGCAACGTGGCAGGGTGGAGCTGGCTATGTCCCTCCAATGGCCAACAGTGTATACAAATGAGAAGTGGACTGGTGCATCAGCTGCCTCTGAAGATGAGATCCTGGCTTTGCACTGAGGGCAACAGAGCCCAAGTCCTCAGCCTTGCAGAGCACAGTGCCTAAACCAACCAGGCTCACAGGCTGCAAAGCAGACCTCCAGTGAAAATGATGCCTGTCATTTTACATTACTGTCTTTCTTTATCTCTTGTTTGTATCACGGTCTGCACTTTACATATGTTAATAAATGTTCCGTTAATCGGTGACATTTCTGTGTGTGTGAGCATCCGTGGGCACCTCATCTTTCTGTGGAAGAAATTTGTTGGCATCCCCGGGAGTGTACAGCTGTTTAGTTCTCTATACTTACCTTGTTACCACATAGGAGACTTTCAGGGTGAATGAGAAAAGCTAAGATAGAAATATTTTAAATTTTCTTTGCAAACATAAGGCAATATGGGTTGTTTTCTAGGCCTCTGGTAGGAAAATATATTATAGAAACTTGCCCCTTTAGGAGCCAGGCACTATGACAAACTCAGAAACTCTTTCTTCATAGTTTAAATCATACGAAGTTAGGCTACTGTTGTTGAATTGACTGGCTTCTGCCTGGGCAAAATATTATGAACTGAAGAAAATTAAGGATTTATTTATAACTTTAGGTCAGTATCTCTTCATTTCAAAAGCCCTGATGTGGCCCATCAGATTTTCTAAGTTACCATAAGCAGCAATGTTTCTCAAGCAGATCTCTGAGTCTTATGACTTATTCTTAGGAAGAAGTGCTCTGTAGCCTAGCACACTGTGGCAGAATTAGAGCTCACAGATCTGCGTTTACTCACATGCATACACACACATATGCTCAGGTACCACCTATTAAAGAAGGTGGACAGGGCTGGGGTACAGCTGAGTGGTAGAGCATAGGCCTAGCACTAAAAAAATAAAAAAATAAAAAAGCTCACTCTGCTAATTACATACATGATCAATTGTTCCTTCCAAAGTTGTATTTTCCTTCTGAGTGGTGTTTTAACATTTCTTTTGCAGCTTGATTCACAGTAAGAACTACATTTCCCATTAGAGCCCAGCACATATATGCCCTTCTATACACACAACTGAAACAAACAAAATTCACAAAAGAGTATGAGATGCACTTCGATCTATTATATTCCACTAACAGGTACTGGTCAAACATCACCTAAATTTGGGCTCACAATATTAATTTGGGCTCACAACCACAATCTGAAAAACACTGAAGTAAGGCAACCATTCTCCTTTTCAAGGATGGAGGACCAATGAGTGTGCTATGACTTCAGTGTTTTCAAAAACATGATTCATTCTTGAATAAAAAGAAGGTGTGGACATCCAGTTAGCCAGGCCCCATCTGTTCTAAAGCTCAGCAGATGCTCTTAGCCTGGTTTCCTACGAACCATGCAAAATGAATGTTATGATGCAGATTCCACAGACCCCCGCTGCAGCCTCCAGTCCTGCTCATGGCAGATTTCTGCCCGTGCCAATGGAGACATTGGCTTCCTTCTCTCTTCCTTTGGAATTCTCATACTTTGAGTCTCTAGATTACTCCCTCCCTAACTACCATAGTATTTACTTCATTCATCTCTCTTGCCCCCCAAGTTCCTATTCTATAACCATTTCTAAGAAAGACATAAAAAGTCAACTGAGTCAGGAAAAGGCTATGCATCCTAAAGAGGGCCTCTGAGCATTCTTCCCAGCCTCGATCACTTTCTGAACATTATCCTCTCACCTCTTACCTACATAAAAAGAAAAAATGTTTACCAACATGACTCAGTTATAAGACAAATACTCTTGCTGGTGGAACACAGTTTGTACAGGTATTCAACAATTTATCTTTGATGAACCAACGAAAAACAGTAATTCTGTGTCCTAAATGTTCGAGGGGGGTTACTGTGGCTGAGAATGGGCCTCATAAAGGTGAACATGACAACAAACAGAAAAACGTAAATGAAGTGATCACTTTTTGTATTTATCTTGTTTGTCACGGGGGGCAGGGATGGGAATCTTCAGTCCTAAGCATTTATGGGTTGTTCTCATCTAAGCTGGTATGGTAACAGGGGCACACCAAATGAAAATGTATCTTCAACTGCACTTTCACAAATTAACAAAAGTTCTTTTTTAGAGCAGTCCTGACTCTAAAATGTTACTGTAGTAACATTTAAGCCCAATTGGCACTGGGACTTGTGTGTTCCTCATTTCAAAAGTACAAGGGATGATTTTTTTGGCGGCTGTTAAAATGACATAGTGGCTGGTAAAAGTGGCAGCACCTCCTTCCTAGCCTACTGCCAAAACTTGTCCTCCACTCCCAGAAAGAAACTCCTTCTGCCACTGTACATAAAATTTATTCTAAAACCCGGAGAACTCAGCTCCAGAGTCATGGGCATTCAACATCAGGCGTTACAGACCCCAGTGACCGCACCAACACTCTCTTCAGGGGACATGTAGCACGTGACTATTGGACTCTTTCTGCAACATTGGACTCACTTTGTGGTTGACATATTGACCGTGACATACTACATGGTTAGCTTTCCACCCTAGTTACAAAATTAAAAAGATAAATGAGGTCATACACCGTCTGATGGCAGAGGGTGGGTTTGCTTTATAAAACGCACATATTGGAAGACCTGGTTTTGGGGTCTTCTGATGGGCCTGAGAATATTTGTGATGTGGGGAAGAGGTATTCCCAAATTGCTTACTTCCCTCTTTGGGTTCCCACTGTCACACAAGCTAAATTTACACATTCAGCAGCTAAACATTGGTGTCTGTTTTATGACATAAACAAGCAAAACCTCACTCTGCCCTTGACGTGCTTTTCGATAAGGTTTAATGAATGGTTGGGCACTCTCCATTTGGAACTGTGTTCAATTTAAGGATTTGGTTCACTTGGCTCAAGTGTTTGGGGGATATAGATGTAGACAGGCAATCTGTGCAAATCATCACAGAAACATACTTCATTGTGATTTTTACATTTCATTTTTCCTGTCATAGGAAAAAAATGTTTCTAGTCTGACCCAGAGGAACTTAATAGTAAATGTTAAATTAGCTTACTGATGTGCCTTAGCTAAAAATCTAGTCTCCAAAACAGGTCAGAGGAATGTTGTTCTAGACAAACTTCTTTTGTGGGGGTTGGAAAAACAAGACTTCAGAGCTGGAGAAATATCAACTGTGTTAAGGATTCAGTAATTTCCTGTGGAAATGAACAGAAAAAAAATGTATGGCATTCTCAAAATAGAACACCTGCATTATGAACCAAGCTGCTGATCTGGGAAGTGGCACAGGTTTTAGGATTGGGCAGTTCATTTCCAGTAAGAACAAAATTGCAGGAAGATTGTGCAAATGAGAGGGAAATTTGTTTCTGTATTCTTGGTGCTTCTAGAAGCTGTCAAATAATATTTGAAGCAGGTGAAGAGGACACATGGGTTTCCAGGTTGCTTGAAAATGTGCAACTCCCAAGAAACTTGAACATCTGAAAAGGATTTGATGGAGTAGAAGGCACCAGTCCTCAAGAATAAATAAATAGCATCAGGGACGGTAGGGCAAGATGGTAGATTAGAAGCACTACTGTTTTGACTCTGTGAATGAGAGAAGTCAGGTAACACAGAAAAGACTAAAATCTAAGGAAAGAAAGAGACAGAGCATCAGGAATCACAAAAGAGGCAGCAGGACAGCAGAAAAGCATGGAGAAACCAAAGCAACAAACAAAACAATGCACAAAGTTGGCCCCCAGATTCCTGGAAATGGGAAGGGAAGGTGAAGATGCCATGACAAGGTAAGACAGATAGCACTGTTGACAGACTGATAATTCTGGTTGTAAGATAAGCCCACACTTCCTGAAAGCAGTGTGGGGATTTATGA